CGGGATGGGGAACACATGTAAATCCATGGCTGATTCATGTCAATGTATGGCAAAAACCACTACAATATTGTAAAGTAATTAGCTTCCAACTAATAAAAATAAATGGAAAAAAAAAAGAATTCCCCAATTTTGCTAAAAAAAATTTTTTTTTAAATGAATTTGTTGAAAAAAATTCAGGTTTAAGTGGACCTCACAGTTCAAACCCTTGTTCAAGGGTCAACTGTACTGTTCTCTAATAAACGTTCTATGTCTGCCTCGGTCTAGGTGATGGCCATCTTAGGTACTTTATTGCACCCTATGCGTCTCCCACCTATTGCACTGATCACACTCACATAACTACCTGCTCTGTCACTTGTCTGTCCCTCCTCTAACACTGCAAGCCCTGAGAGGAAAGACTTGATCACAGTTGTAGCCTCAGGTTTTAGCCTGGCCCTTGGTAGATGCTCAAAAAGTGTTTGTTGGATGTATATATCCTTCCAGTCTTTTCTCTTTGGGGATACATACACACACACTTTATATTAAATCATACTGCTTTCCAGTAGCTAGGTTTTAAAAAATCAGTAAGATGAATATCTCTTTCCCATCATTGATTAATCTTCCAACAGCAAATTTTTAATGCCTGCAGAGTATCCTAATGCATAGATGTATTATAATTAAAGTAAGCAATGTCCTGCTACTGAACATCATAGTTCTTTCCAGGTTTTCACAATTCAGAACTATGTCCGATTAAGATCATAGGAGCCATCCCTTTGCATGTTATTACAATTATCTCTGGGAGGGAGTATAACTTGGTGGTTAAGGCCACAAGCTTTAGCAATAGAATGTTTTGGCTCAAACTCCAGTTAGCTGTATGAGGCACAGAAGTTTAACTTTTCTGTGGCTTAGTTTCTTCATCTGTAGAATGATGAGAATTAACAGTTTTGACCTAGGATTCTTATAAAGGATAAGGTAGTTATCATCTGAAAAGCATTAAGATAATATCTGACAGACATAAATACTTAGTATGAGTAAGCCATATAAAAATGACTTGCTAGGTTTCTTTCTGGCAAACTTCCTCAAGACCTAATTCAAATATCATCCCTTCTTTTTTTGAAAAATTTTTCTTGGGAGTAGAGTTGATTTACAATGTTATGTTAGTTTCAAGAGTACAGCAAAGTGAATAAGTTATACATATACATATAACCACTCTTTTTTAGATTCTTTTCCCACATAAGTCATTACAGAGGACTGAGTAGAGTTCTCTGTAAGAATCATCACTTCTGCTGAGACCTCCCTGACCTACCACCCTCCCTGAATCATCCCCTCCTCTGTATCAAAATTATAACCAGTTAGAATATGGATCATAATCAGTGTTATTTCACCATATTTTGTTTTCATGGATGATTTCCCTCCTTGAGGGAAGGCAATGTATTATATCCATTTTTTTTTATTCCTGCAATCTCGCATTTAGTAAATACTTACTGAATAAACACATGCACTTTGATAGCATGATTTTCAATAGCTATATAGGATTATATGTTCCCCATTCTACACAACAGAAAACATATTTAAATGAAGAGCAGTTTTGGAGGAGAGACAGTCACAAAGGGCTGACTATGTATGAGTCTCTGTTTTTCTTTTAAATGCTTATTTTGCACAGCTTATCTCCTTACCTTTTGTCCTAACAGGGTTGGACCTACTCGTATTCATTTTAGCTTAAAGGCCATAATAATTTCCTGTTCTGGAAAACAGATTCTACTCCCTTTTTAATTTTCAAAAAATTATTTTAATATTATTTATCTTGTGATAGAATTTGAAAGAACTTTTATCTCAAAATACTTTTTTTTTTTTCCTTTGGAGAAATTTTTGTGTTGAGACAGGTACAAAAACTGTGGATAACAGAAATGAGTAGAAAACAGTTCCATGGAATCCTGGAGAAAGTCTGGAAGCAAAATGGTATCGAGCAACTACTAACTATATAGAATAAACATGATGCAAAGTATTAGTGCCACATAATCCCTGCCTGGAGAAGGGAATGGCAACCCACTCTAGTATTCTTGCCTGGAGAATCCCACGGCCAGAGGAGCCTGGTGGACTACAGTCCATAGGTTTGCACAGAATCGGACACAACTAAAGCGACTTACCACACACTGCAGTTCAACTGAAAGCCTTATCCTCTTGAATTCCAGTTTTATTTTTACTCCCTACTTTTATTATGGGATTAAACACTCTGATTGCAAGGTAATGAGCCTGTTTACCTTGGGAGTAGGGATGTCTACTCTTAGGTATTTTGAGACAACATTCCTGTATTCAAGTTTAGGTTATACAAACTAGAGAGTCCTTTCCTTCTCTTCAATGCAGAGATTCTATATGATTCCATCAAATAATTAAACTTGATAATAAACTGCTTTGATAGCTAACAGCTTGCTCTTTCACTTATTTTGTTAAGAATTTGGCCATTCTGATAGAGAAGCCTCTTTCATCTCTGATGGTTTATTTCTCTGTAATCCATTATCTTTGAACACTATTGCTGCAAATATGGTTAGCAGGAATTTTTGTAAAGAAGCCTTGGTTAAAGTGCTGAACATTAATATCTTCAGGAAAAAAAAATGTACATTTATAGATAAGTAATATGCAAAAACATAGTTAAAACTTTTCAGGAAGATTCTCATTAGAACATAATATATGTGAAACCCTGAAAAATCTAATACCGTCATTTCAAGGCTAACTCTTACTCTTCACTATATAATAATAAGTATATCTAATACAGACAATAAATATCTCAGTATTTACATATTGATATGAAGACATCAAGTTGGGAAACAAATCTTGTCCATATAGTTAGGAATCTCATGTTAATGCATTCCCTCCTTAAAAAGATGTGGTTTTCTCCAGCTTTCTACTACAATACCTTATATTTTTGTACTTCTTGCCAAAAGAGCACCCCATTTTCCAATAAATCTCCTTTTAGAGCCACAAAGCGTTGAAATTGTCTTACAGTAACTGGATTCAATAAAGCTTTACGGAAAGCAATGATTTCACAAGACGAAGATATCCACTTGCTCTCCACAGGCTGTCCAAATCAGAGAATACATAAAATTAGCTATGTTCTAAAAATTAATAATAAAGTCATTTATTAGGCTAAAAATTACCAACTTCTATCTCCTTTGTTTTGGGCTGTTGAAATTTATAGCATGGATAAAGAGAATTTGGCAATTTCCCCTCTCTTTTCTTCTCCCTTTTGTCTCCTTTATACTTTTATGGCATCATTTTTTTAAGAGATGGAGAGAAAATGAAATGATTGGATGACATAGAATATATGATTATATTACAGAGGACTAAGAATTAGAATTTGAGAGATGGTGAAAAACTACATTTGGGTATATAGTATGAATTCTGTGCTTAAACACAAAGTAATCACACTGTTATGATTATATTATATTATTTTATAATTATGTATACTATATGTTATATATTAATATATAATTTTCCTGACTTTCAAAAAGTAAAAGCATTGAACATTTAAGATATTTTTTTTTAATTGTTGGGAAAATTGCCAATTAATCCTATTATAATTTAAATAGGAAATTTACTGTGGAGCTTCACTATAATTCTATCCTAAAAAGATAATGGGGGTTTTTTGTCTTTGTTTTCGGTTTTGGATTTTGGCTGTGGGCTTGTGGGATCTTAGTTTCTGAGAGATGATGCTGTGAAAGTGCTGCACTCAATATGACACCAAATTTGGAAAACTCAGCAGTGGCCACAGGACTGGAAAAGTTCAGTCTTCATTCCAATCCCAAAGAAAGGCAATGCCAAAGAATGCTCAAACTACCGCACAATTGCACACATCTCACATGGTAGTAAAGTAATGCTTAAAATTCTCCAAGCCAGGCATCAGCAATACGTGAACTGAGAACTTCCAGATGTTCAAGCTGGACTTAGAGTTAGAGGAACCAGAGGTCAAATTGCCAACATCCGCTGGACCATCGAAAAAGCAAGAGAGTTCCAGAAAAACATCTATTTCTGCTTTATTTAGATGGGGAAACAGTGGAAACAGCAGCTGACTTTATTTTTCTGGGCTCCAAAATCACTGCAGATGGTGATTGCAGCCATGAAACTAAAAGACACTTACTCCTTGGAAGGAAAGTTATGACCAACCTAGACAGCGTATTAAAAAGCAGAGACATTACTTTGTCAACAAAGGTCCATCTGGTCAAGGCTACTGTTTTTCCAGTGGTCATGTATGGATGTGAGAGTTGGACTGTGAGAAAAGCTGAGCACCGAAAAATTGATGCTTTTGAACTGTGGTGTTGGAGAAGATTCTTGAGAGTCCCTTGGACTGCAAGGAAATCCTGCCAGTCCATCCTAAAGGAGATCAGTCCTGGGTGTACATTGGAAGGACTGATGCTGAAGCTGAAACTCCAATACTTTGGCCAGCTGATGCAAAGAGCTGACTCATTTGAAAAGACCCCGATGCTGGGAGAGATTGAGGGCAGGAGGAGAAGGGGACGACAGAGGATGAGATGGTTGGATGTCATCACTGACTCGATGGAAATGGGTTTGGGTGGAACTTAGGAGTTGGTGATGGACAGGGAGGCCTGGTGTGCTGCGGTTCATGGGGTCGCAAAGAGTCGGACACGACTGAGTGACTGAACTGAAATGAGGGATTAAACCTGTGTCATAGCCATGAAAGTGCTGAGTCCTCACCATTGGACTACCAGGGAATTCCCAAAAGACCATGTTTTTAGGTGGGGCATCGTTATATTATTTTAATAATAAATTACTATTAATAATTAATAACAAGAAGAAATTAAACTATTAATGCATATTTTCTATGATAAACTTTCTCTGACCCAGAATTCACCTTACACAACAGAAAAGACATATTATTCTACTATAAAAGCATGACTTTTATAAAGGCATTACTTATTTCATATCTTCTCAGTACTGAAGTATATGGTGTCTACTTTTCTCTATGTACTTTCATTCATTCATTTATTCATTCCTGGCTGTGCGGGGTCTTAGTTGCTGTGAGCGGGGGCTGCTCTCCAGTGGTGGTGCGATGGCGTCTCACGGCAGTGGTTTCTCTTGTTGTGGAGCACGGGCTCTAGAGTGTGCAGGCTCAGTAGTCGTGGCACAGGGGTTAGTTGCTCACAGCACGTGTAACCTTCCTGGACCAGGGATCAAACCTGAGTCCTCTGCGTTGGCAGGTGGGTACTTAACTGCTAGACCACCAGGAAGTCCTATTATGTCTACTTTTTTTAACCTTGACCATTTGAGGTCACATATTCACCCCCCTTTAGCCTCTCAGATTAAAAAACATAATATATTTTATTCAATTTACTGAATAGATTTTTTTACATTTGATAAATTTACTGAAGTTCCCAAAATCTGAGGTTAGCCTACAACCATGCCAGGAAGCATCATTCTAAAGGCAATTTTTTGGATGAACTTAGAAATTATAGTAAAATCAATGACAAATATCCATTATACATAATAAATGTCCATTACTGACAATGCATAAGCTAAGTTCCTTGAAACAAATCCTATGTGACCAATGATAAAAGTGTTTAAGAGAGCTCTGTAACAAGTCTATGGGAACACAAAGGAAGTAGTAACTAATTTTGCCCGGGGAGTGGGGACGTTACAGAGAAAGACTTTGAGGGTGATTTCTGAGGTGGAAACTGAAAAGTGAAGGCAACTCCAGGCAGTCTAGATGAATGGTGCCCCCATCGCAGATAAAGTGAATAGTCGTCTGTCACAATTTTAGTGAGGCACGTGTGGGGTTTCAAGGACAGAAAGTTAAGACTCTCACCAGATGGTCCATATTAAAATTATAGCCCTATAAATAGGAACAACTATGTATTAGACTGGGATGTTTATTTAAAACCCACTCAACAAATAATGTTTTAAGACCTGCTTCTTAAGACACTAAAACTTAGTAATTTAACTAAAACCCGTAATTTAACTAAACAGAAAATAACATAACATACAATGCACAATAATATGAAATATAAGCTCATTCTATTTAGCATTTTTAAAAATACATAAGAGGGACAAATATAAGAATATTTCTTTCAAGAAGAAAACACAGAAAAAAAGTATGTGTATCCTAACTGATACACATACTCCTCTAATAGTCTAACAGATTTTTATCTTTGCTAGATTGTAGAAGGTCACCTGGGTCTAGTCTGACATTTTATCAAGACCTACAGAAGGATGAATACAAACAAATTTGTAGGCTCAAAAAGAAGACTGTGTTTATCATTCTTGTTAAGAAGAAAAATAGGCAATTTCTAAGAAGGTATCATATTATAGTGGTTTAAATAATCACCAAAATGACAGTTATCTTAACTGTTTTAAAGTTAAAACGTACTTCTAAATAAAGAGGATAATGTAAGATAATTTAAGTTTCTGATTCTGCTGCATACTCCTCATTCTTTTTGTGTAATCTACTCCCAGTAATATATAAATTACCACATGCTGGCAAAACAGCCTGTCTCAATAAATCTATCACAAGCAAAATAACTAAAAATACATATTTAAAATCCAATCACACACTTCCAGAGTTGAGCAGGTCAAGGAAATCTTTAAGAAGAGGGCTCTAGTAGAATTACACTTTCCCTGAGAGTCCTTCAGCCAGTTAAGAATAGGGTCAGCATCTGGTGGCTTAGAAAGCATTATCTACAACCAAGATCTTTGTATAGGAAGGAGAAGAAAAATACTTTGACAGTTGGAACTTACAAAAGGAAGAATATAACAAATACTACTTGCCTTCCAGACTCCAATTTTCCTTTCACGCTTCTGTAGTAAAAGCTCTTCAGCTATGTCTTTAATCTGTACCTAGAAGCAAAACCAATGATTTTATCCAGTTATTCAGAATGTTCACAGCGTTGAAATCACTCACTGATTCAACAGCTTTAAAAAATGCGGTAAAGGTCAGTGTGGGGGACTTCTCTGGTGGTCCAGTGGTTAAGAATCCGCCTTTGAATGCAGGGGACATGGGTTTGATCCTTGGTTGGGGAACTAGGATCCCACGTGCCATGGGGCAATTAACCCTGCATGCTATTCTAACTACTGAGCCCATACAACAACAGAAGATTCTGCATGGCACAGCTAAGACCTGATGCAATCAAAAAGAATGTTTTTTGTTTTTTTTTTTAAAGGTCAGTGTGGATAAGAGAGAGGACAGGAGAAAGAGGATTAAGACTTAGAAATGGAAGCCCTGCCCAGGTCCCTGGGCAAGTCACTCAAATTCTCTGAAGTTTCCTCATCTGCAAAATGGAGATAATGATACCTAAGTGTACTGCCCCAAAGGTAGACAACTTTGAGTCACGTGGAAACTGAAGCTGGAAATATAATTAAGACTTCCCAGATTTTTGTGCTATTCTCCAGCCACAACTGATGGATAGCTGTGAGAAGCTGGGGCTCTGTGATGACCTGGAGGGATGGGATGGCAGGAGGGGAGGGAGGCTAGGAAGGGAGGGCAAGTATGTATAATTCTGGCTGATTTGTGTTGTTGTATGGCAAAAACCAACACAACACTGCAAAAATTTTAATAGAAAGAATCAAGCTGGATTAAAAAAAAAAAGTACAAAAGTTACTCAATACAGGGAGAGAATACAGTGGACATTTCTTGAGGTTATAGCCTGTTCACAGTATTTTCCATTTGGGGGAACCACCCTTGCCAACTCTGTGCTCTGTGACTCTCCTCAACCAGGAGCTGACCTAGAGAGACAGGGACTGAAATCACTGCTGCTGAGTCTCCTGATAGCTACATGGTGGAGACAAGATCTGAGACGTCTTTCTGCTGAGTTCCCAGGGCCATCCTGGCTCCTGAGCAGCTTTAGAAATAAAGCGTGGGTGTCAACTCTTCCCCTGAGTATGAGATGCTCCAGCATAATTTCATTACAAATTCTTGATCTCCCTTCCCCTTTGTCTTTGCTTAAGGCTGCCAGATCAGTGTATGCTGTTGGCCACTCAAAGAATTGCTAAGTCAGGAAGGAGCTGTAAATTGGAATAAATATTACTGTGGTAATCATAGTGAGAAAACATGGTAAACAAGATTAGTAAGCCAAATATCTTTTCACTTGGCTTTGGATGGACAATTAAGAGTCTGCAGAAGAAAGGAAATGAGGAAATCGGAATTGTCCCAAAGCTTATTTCCATGAACTTTCTGCTTAAAATAAGTCAGGTCTTCTCCCCCATACTGTCAGTTCAGTTCAGTCGCTCACTCGTGTCCGACTCTTTGCGACCCCATGAACCGCAGCACGCCAGGCCTCCCTGTCCATCACCAACTCCCAGAGTTCACCCAAACCCATGTCCATTGAGTCAGTGATGCCATCCAACCATCTCATCCTCTGTCGTACCTTCTCCTGCCCTCAGTCTTTCCCAGCATTAGGGTCTTTTCAAATGAGTCAGCTCTTCACATCAGGTGACCAAAGTATTGGAGTTTCAGCTTCAACATCAGTCCTTCCATTGAACACCCAGGACTGATCTCCTTTAGGATGGACTGGCAGGATCTCCTTGCAGTCCAAGCGACTCTCAAGAATCTTCTCCAACACCCCATCAATTCTTTGGTGCTCAGTTTTCTTTATAGTCCAATTCTCACATCCATACATGACCACTGGAAAAACCGCAGCCTTGACTAGCCTGTAAGGTCTATGTTTCCCCCATACTGTAAGTTCTGTGTTTCCAGCTGTACTGTGTTTTCCATAACTTAAAGTGCTCAGAAGACTAAGGATCTGTCCAGATAAGTAAGACTCAAAGTGTTTGATAAATTAAATATGGAAGGCAGTTTTTTAACATCCTTCCTGGTCAATACTAATAGCATGTGCTTTGCACACTAAACTCCAGAATTACATGTTCTTTACTCCTTGTGTTCATTTTGTAAAGATCAGGTTTGCCTGTTTTTAGATGTGATAATGACATCTAAAATTATCAAAGCAATATCTGCTTCTTATAAAACACAAACTAAACAAAGTAAAGCAAAAACAACAAAAACCCTAGTTTACAAAGTAAAAATCTTTCTCACTCCCCATACCCATTCCCAGGAAGTAGATCCTTTTTGACCTTTGCTCATAAACATAAATAGAGATAGAGAGGAGAGAGAAATGCAGACATATACAGAGATATAAGCATATATAATGGGATTATCTTCTATGTATTGCTCTGATCCTGCTTGTTTCACTCAATAAATAACATGTTTCATCATCAGTATTTGTAGAAATCTCATTTTTATAATCTCATTTTATATGGAAATCTGCATAGTTTTCCACAGTATGGAATTATCATTATTCATTTGATTATTCCCATTTGTATATCCTTGCCCATTTATATGAAGACTCAATAATAATATAAAAAATAGTAACTATATTAAGACAATATGTGTTTGCTGTGTGCCAGGCACCATTCTAAGAAACTACACATATATCATTTCCTCTTCATAACAATCTTATGAACCTATTACTCTTATTAACTCCATTTTTTTCCAAATGAGAAAACTAAGGTTTATAAAACATAGTGTTGTACAATTAATATGTGGCAGTGTTGACATTAAAACTTTGGAAGTCTGACCCTCAGCTCTTAACCACTATGCCATAATAGTACAATAGCTGAGTCAACAGGTATGCACATTTAATTATTTGAGAGGTACTGTCAATTGCTATCCCAAGTTTATATTAACTTATATACCTTTATCTTTTGACGTGCTGCAAACTGTTCACTTGCAAGAAACAATGGCAACCACACATTTTCTAGTCTATTTAGGACATGCTTCTGAATTTCAATTAGAACGGCTGCATCAAGTTGCTCATGGAGAATCTTTCCCCAGCCACCACTTAAATTCATTATCTAAGAAAGAAAAAATGAAACAAACTTCTGTATAAGCAAAGGAATGCTAATGGTCATTAATTTATTCATTCACCCCAAAACCATATGCTGAGCCCATGATAGGTGCCAAAATTTTCATTTTCTATAAAATATCTCCTGGCTTTATTGTGTATAGTAAAGACAGATAACTCCCCTAATATCAAACAGAGAATTGTGGTGTATGTGATGGTTGTTTTAGAGGTATGATTTTGCTAATTTAGTCTTGTTTCAAAGGACACAGGGATTTGTATCCTGTGTGACAACTGCAAGGCCATTTTTTTCTCTATGGCTTCAATTTCCTCAACTGTAAAGTAAGGCCATTAGTCTTTTAGTTTTATAAGTTCTCTTCTAGGTTGAATATTCTATGAATCTCTGATTCTACTCAAATGGACTTCTTTGAGAAGGCATTTTCTTTTGTTTGAGAAAAATAAGGCATTACTTCATTAAGAGACAAACAACTCAGGTATTATAAATGTGCGTATTACCAATAAGTACTGGGTTGGAGACAGTGGAATGATGATGGTGGTAGCAATGTAGGGCTGTTCCAACAACTTCAAAGAAGAAAACAGAGATGATAGGGAGTAGAAAAAGGCCAGGTTGCACAGACAATAGTCGCTGACTTGCATCAGTAGCCCTTTTATAAGGGCCCTTTTATAAGGGCACAATTTCTCTGTAGCCAAAATCATCTTCTACAAAATTACTGGTTTCAACAAAACTAATGGCCATAAAATTAATTAATTAAAAAATACTAATGGCCATTTCCTACTAGAAATCATTGTGGTTTTTACCTGTTTCTGTGTACATATCACTTAAAATTGGTGAGTTGTTTGCACAGAGGAAGAAAAATTGGACTCCTCATTGGAAAAATTATCTCATCTCTCCTTTTATTAATAAGATTAAATCCTAATAATATTGTTTTATATAAAAACAAAAGAGAAACTCTCACCATCTTTTAATAATAATTATCAAAGAGTATAAACAATAATATGGTTTCTGTATAAAAATAAGAAGAAAAGAGAATAAAAGACTACTTTGCTAATCAAACTGCAAACTGGCCACACAACTAAAATTAGAACTAGCATAGTCTATATAGAACATAAAGTGATACAGGTATTCTTAAGTATAAAACAGGCAAATAAAATGAAAGACAAAGTTGAGGAAGAAGGGTCATTTAGAAAACTCTTCTGTAATAAGTCCAACCATTTGCTATGACAGCAATGGGTGACTTTTTCCATTGCATTTTTAATTCTCAGCAAGTTTTACTATGGAAGGTTCACACAGTAGCATCAGATACCATGAAACCTCATGCAATGCAGCACAAGCCAAATAGAAAACAAACACTTTCCATGTGTTTATTTCATACTTATGCTTATTGAGATACTCCCAGACATTTTTGCTAATACATCCCAGATTTGTATCTCAGGGAACCAAAGGCAAGACATTTTTCTTAAGGTTGCTAAATTCTAGAATTTCTTCTCTCACTTACTCCCAAGAACTTTTGTTTATTTTCCCCTAAAAGATCTAGATTTTAAACTTGGTATGCCCTACTTGTGAATACCTCTGAATTTTTCTTTAATTTACTGAATTAATCTGAGATTCTTTTTTTTTTTTTTCCCCTTAACAAACGTATGCTATTATGGTTGTGATCCACACAGTCAAAGGCTTTGGCATAGTCAATAAAACAGAAGTAGATGTTTTTCTGGAACTCTCCTGCTGTTTCTGTGATCCAGTGGAGGTTGGCAATTTGATCTCTGGTTCCTCTGCCTTTTCTAAATCCAGCTTGAACATCTGGAAGTTCACGGTTCATGTACTGTTGAAGCCTGGCTTGGAGAATTTTGAGCATTACTTTACTACCATATGAGATGAGTGGAGTTGTGCAGTAGTTTGAGCACTCTTTGGTATTACCTTTCTTTGGGACTGGAATGAAGACTGACCTTTTCCAGTCCTGTGGACCCTGCTGAGTTTTCCAAATTTGCTGGCATATTGAGTGCAGCACTTTCACAGGATAATCTTTTAAAATTTGAAATAGCTCAACTGGAATGCCATCACCTCCACTAGCTTTGTTCATAGTGATGCTTCCCAAGGCCCACTTGACTTCGCATTCCAGGATGTCTGGCTCCAGGTGAGTGATCACATCATCATGATTATCTGGGCCGTGAAGATTTTTTTTTACAGTTCTTCTGTGTATTCTTGCCACCTCTCCTTATCTTCTGCTTCTGTTAGGTCCATACCATTTCTGTCCTTTATCAAACCCATCTTTGCATGAAATGTTCCCTTGGTATCTCTAATTTCCTTGAGGAGATCTCTAGTCTTTCCCATTCTATTGTTTTCCTCAATTTCTTTGCATTGATCACTGAGGAAGGCTTTCTTATCTCTCCTTGCTATTCTTTGGAAGTCTGCATTCAAATGGGTATATCTTTCTTTTTTTTTTTACTTTTTCCATTTATTTTTATTAGTTGGAGGCTAATTACTTTACATCATTGCAGTGGTTTTTGTCATACATTGAAATGAATTAGCCATGGATTTACATGTATTCCCCATCCCGGTC